GAAGAAGTCTCTTTTTGGTTGGCCATCCGATCGTGTGACGTGGCCATACCGTCTCAGCTTCCATTTCTTTACTGTAATGAGGTCTTCGTGGGGACCAATGTGCCCTGAATTTTATTGCGTATCTGGCAGTTGGCGATGTGGTCAATGTATGAAATACCCAGAATGGTGCGATAACGTCTCATTTCCAGTGCCTGTATATTTCTTTGTAGCTCAGATGTGACCGTCCGTTTCTGGTACGCATACAGAAATATAGAGAATAGCAATGCGCGCAGGAGCCTGATCGTCTACTGCGTAGAGATAGTATATCCCCTTCATATGGTCTTCAGCTTAGAGAGTGCAGTCATAGACTACGTAGTTTTTGCTAAGATTTCTCATCTTGATCCTTGATCTTCATTATCACCCCGAGGTATTTGAACTGATGTAATGACTCAAATGTATATACAGATAGTTTATAAATTCTATCCGGACCTCATTCGTCGTACGAAGGACATATTAGTGAAATTCAATTTTTTAATTCTGGTCATTTTTTTTAATTGCAGTCTGAAACATAAAAACAACATTAATAGTAATTTGAAACATAAAAAATAACATTAGTAAAACTGTTTATATCATTTAAAAAACATTAATAATAACATATTTATATGCAACAAAAATTAACATGCCACCTCTTGTAAATTTTTCGTAATGACTTTTTGAAATTGTATTAATATTTTGTGGAAAACCTGTATGTCTATATATTGAATTCTAAGAAATGTAATGAAATTATTTGACAACTATTTAAATGCTTTCATACAACGCTCGCTGCTCTAAAAATCAATTTAATTCGTTTGATAAACGAAGCCGTATATCTCACATCGTGTTTCCTCGGTGAGTATCTTTAAAAATGACATCAATTTCTGTTTATAAATGATTAGGCCTTGATATTCCATTTATAATTGACTGATAGAAAATTAAACGCTGCGAGGGCTTATATTGATGGTAATATTTATGATTTATTTAGCCGTTTACACAAAGTATATACATTCATTGGCAGATGAGAAAGCGTTACTGACGATTGAAAGTTATTAAAATATTTTTTCTTAAAACATGTTTTTCAGAAGATTAGACATCTTAAATCCAGTAAATGTTATAGACCTTTCTAGTATTGATGTGAGTTCCTTCCATAATTTTTGTTTTTCTATTGTGGAATGTTAACAGTTATTATTATTTTCTTTTTAGTTACAGTGTTTTTGCCGTTAGTAGTGTTCAAGGCACGTATTTTTTGTTGTTATTTGGTAAAGATTTTTCATTTTGATATTGTAGTGCCAGCCTGTAATGTCCAATGACGAATCGTCATCTTTAAGGTCCTCGGTACTCGTACGCTTGAAGCAATTATCAATCCCATATATTTTGCTTCCAAATAATGACCTTACAAATAAATCAAATACATTATACTCTTTTATTCGTTAGCCTTGTCGAAGGGAAAATCTGCAAACCAATTAATGACGGTTGCTAATATTCGAAAAAAAACTGTTACCTTTTAATCGTCTAAGAGTTTTTTTTTGCCTTATATGAACATGACTTTTTGAATTTTTGTCTTGAAGGTTAGATGCTAACCTTAAAGACAAAAATTCATTTCCTTCTCGTTCTAATGTTTTATACTGACATAAAGTGGGCCGACTATATTAAAGCAACTGCGAAGCTTGTTGCTAGGAAAGTTAGTTCATTGCATCGTGCTAGACAATATTTTCCGTTAAAATCTTTCTTGCCCGTTTAGGAGTCAACCATTCGTCTATATACTGAATATTGCTGCCATATCAAATTTCGTGTATCTGCTATGCATCTAAAGGTTCTTGAGAGAATCCAAATAAAAAATCTGCAACTTTATCTGTCCTGGAGTGGCATCTCCGCTTATGTCACTTTCCTGCCGCTGTAACGTAGCATCCTTTTACCTCTACTATAGATATTTACATGGGAATTCTTTCGATGAGTTTTCCTGTATGTTTCCATTACTTAATGAATTCAGGTATAGTGCTAGATTGGCACTTAGGTCTCATCATTTTACTGTCGAAATTGCTAAATCTAGCTGTAAGTTTTATGCAGATAGACTCTTTAAACCTAGGATTTTCAAAAACTAAAATGCAATGTCCACTAGACATTTTCTGTCCCTGAATCTTGTTATTTTAAAGTCCTTTCTCTCCTCAAAGATTTCTTAGTTGATTTCTCTCTTTGTACCCACTTTAAGTCTTAACGGCTTTATCGCCTTGTTTGTAGCGAAACAATGTAAAGTGTCTGGAATATTTAATTCTGAATCAATGTTTTATAATTGCTGTCCAGATCCACAATATTTCTAAACATTATTTTTTACAGCCATTCCAACCTGTGAGTCAGAGGATAATATTTTGCCCACTGATAGTCCCCTCGGCCTTCATATTTCATCAAGCGTCGGCGCCCATCATGAAAGAATTGAAAAAACAAGACTCTTTGTCGAGTCTTCTGGAAATACGACTGGAAACCGGAAGTTAGATGTAAACTTTCTCAAATGTATGATATTCATCTGCCTCTCTATGGCAGCATTTTCATCACAAGGTCGATTTTCGATAGTTCCAGGACGCATATATATCTTGTGACAATAATTATATTGCAATTAATTTTATATTTTTGTGTGTGTATGTGTGTGTTTGTAAAAGGCACAGACATGCAGGAAAGCAATGTACTTACTCCGCCTAGTGCTATAGGAACTAAACATTCTTAGCCAATTCGATAATTTCTATCTAAATTTCTAAGATGAATAATTAACCTTATTTCCACAATTTCAATTCTGTCTAATGTCCTCATCTTTGTTTTTTTTTTGTCTAACAATAACAAAGACAAGGACATAAGTCTGAATAGAAATCATGTAAATAATTCTTAAGCAAATTTCAAACTTATAATACTGTTGTGGTAGGATCCACCTAATTTGCATAGTGGAGTACCGGCCATATAAATATGGTTGGTACCGGGAAGAGAGGGAGGAATCAAGAGATTCAACCAGAGACTCTGCCCGACTGCGACTCAGTCAACACATTCTCCAGGAACGGTCTTAGCAGGAATATACAAAAGACTATATGTAAATATTGTGTACACTTCCTTGTTCAATACATTTTTTTCTAAGTACATTTTGTATTGCATTATTATTCCATGCATTAGTCAAGTTTCAACAAATACTTATATCATATTACATATTTCGTTATTCATAGCGAATTCTCATACCTATTTTTCTAAATGTTTGAATTATATTCTATATATTATTATATTTAAAGTTTATAATAATAAGTGTGTATCTATTTTCTCTGCCGCGTATATTCATTAAATGGCCTAACTTCTGAGTTAGTATTTGGTAACTGTCGTATAAATCCGAATAATGTTTACATTTTGACTTGAGTTTAAAACGGAAAAATGTTTACTTTTTGACCCAGTCCGAACTCTACGAATCTTTTGACTACATTATAAAACGGACAAATGTATACTTTTTTTTGGCGAAAGTACAAACTGTACCATGGTTTAGTTTTGGACATGTATAAATCTAACTAATACTTACTATTTGACTAAAGTAAAAACCGGATCAAGTATTGTATAAACCCGACTAATTTACACATTTTGACTAAAATATAAACCGGAGCTATATTTAAATTTTGACTAATCTAAGTATCTATGGTCTGTCCATATACAACCGCAAACAGTGCAACGTAAATTCTTTCAACCTCACACAAAACATCCCCCAATCAGCAACGGAGACTACCAGATATAAATAAAAATCAAGCATGAATACACACCTGCCAGCACGCACACGCACGAGCACACACGAATACAGGAATACACTTAAAAGCACATAGATTTATACGGACGCACACGCATCTATTATCTACAAAATCTCGCACAGACTAACTAGAATTATAATATACAAACACACAAGAATTATACCCAAGAACGCTACTTGACAAGAAAAATACACGTGATGTCTATTTGACCAATGAAAAACAATCAACACAAAAATAAATAAAAAAATACCAGAATTTTCTTTTCTCCAACATATTCAATTTTCTGATGAAACTTAAATAAAAGCGAAACATGTTAAATTTAGTTTTACTTTTGGACAAATGTATGAACCAAACTAATTTATACATTTTGATTTCAGTACAAACCGGACCAATTTTTAGTTCCTGACTCAAATACAAACACGACTCTCCTTTAGTTTCTAACACAAGTATAAGGCGAAACAATGTTTAATTTTTGATTCTTCATTTGGATATTTTCTATTGCAATAAAGCATATATCGTTTACTTCCCTGGCATATATATTCATGTTCATTCACAGTGTCACGCAATCCTCGATATATATAGTTATATAGGTTCTTCAGCAAGAATAACAATTGAACATGTACAGACACACATAAAGTGATTATTTAACATGCATATAATCCAGAAAGCTCGCATATACATGCCACTATATTGAAATATACTTGCCTAGTAGTATTTGTTCTTATCGGTCAGGCAGCACTGAATTAATTGAATCAATGTAATTTATTGCTTAATCAAATTATTTAATATTAAATTCCAGCTGAAAAATACGTTGGTAATAGAATTAAATAAACTTCATTTAATCTTAATTAATCAAGCAAAGAAATTATATGTTTTTGTTAAGTCGTTTGAACATTTACTTTTTCTTTTTTAATGCTCTCTTTTCTTTTTTTCTTTTTCTTTTCTTTTTTTTTTTGCTTAAAAGTCGTCTGCATTTTTAATGAGTGCAGCGACTAAGGGAGATAATCCTGTCATATTAACCGAGTTAATCAATCAAGAACGATTTTAATGAAACATGCATTAAGTAAAAACAAATTAGAGAGACCACTCAATTACATTTACTTGTTTTTCTTCATCCGCGCAAATATTTGGCAAAAATCAGTCATCTCGTCTAATATCAATTATCTAAATTGTTTCTTTCATTTTGTTTGTTGCTTTCATTCCTTTTGAGATATTATTTGCCCAAATTCCATAACAATTCTGTTCGTATTATTTCTGCATAATCTTTTACACACACACACACACACACACACACACACACACACACACACACACACACACACACACAGATATATATATATATATATATATATATATATATATATATATATATATATATATACACATATACAACTATATATATACATATATTAATCTGTGTGTGAATGTGTATATATATATATATATATATATATATGTTAAGAAATGGACAAGGTCCGACAATTTATTTATTAAAGACATTTTTATTTATGTTTAACGTTGTTATTTTATAGATACAAGTATTTAAGCAAATGCTCTGTTTAAGATAAACAGTATTAAATAACATTTACCGGCCTGAATGTCCGAGAAATTTTCATAGAAAATATTCGTTCATAGACAGGATTCGAACCTGCATCCTATACGGAACTGTATCTATAAAATAACAACGTTAAACATAAATAAAAATGTCTTTAATATATATATATATATATATATATATATACATACATACAGCATGTAACAGCCTAGTTATCCATAGCGCAAAATGTCAATATCTAAAAAAAAAACGTTCAACTGAGTTTCTCTTTTCCAGATTTTCAGATAAGATATTTAGCCACCTTGGTACCTTTTGTCGTAAAAATCACTGACAATCCCTTTCAGTTATTCAGATAGAAAGAGAACAGGTTAAAATCGTTTTGTGTCATATCCACTGTCTTTCCAAATGCCCACTGATGCGAGGAAAAAGATCATTTATCCCTTCAGTAATGCCACCAACAATCGTGCTCTGGCTTCCATCTTCAAGGTCCACTCTAGAATCACCAAGCAAACGTCGAATAAGTTTAAAAAAGAAGGAACAGTAGAGAGGGAAACTTGTTACTACAGAACAGAAAGATAGAAGGTTAGAGAGGGCAAAGATCCTCATGAATAATTTGGAAATGGATCTAGGAATATATATATATATATATATATATATATATATATATATATATATATATATATATGAACTTAATTTCAATCCTTCATGAGCTTCCGGTCCTCCCCTATGATTAATTAATGATGACCATGTCATGTTCGTTTATGATATTTTCTGTTTCTTCTGATAATCTTTGGAGAGTAATTATACATTCTTATTGTTCAATGTACAGTCCAATAGTATAATAAAACTTCGGAGAATTCCATTAATGATTTCTAATATACAATGGTTTAAATTTGAAACTGACAAATGGACAATTTTGCTGTTACACGATTTGAACAATTTTGCTGTTACACTTGATACGTATATGTCTGTGTATGCATTTATTGTTACCAGAAATCATGCCAACACTAACAGTCTACTGCATTTGACGATTTTATATCGGCATGCTTTGAATGACCGAACTGCACTAGAATTTGAAAATCCAGGTCGGGCTTGACAAGATATAGAAAAACTCATTGGAAGTGATGATGTTCGAAGTCAACTTCCACCACCCGAAGATCATTTGACATGCCATATATGTAACAAGACATGCAGATCGATGGTTGGCTTTATGAGCTACAGTCGTTCACACAACAAATGAATGCATTGTTGTGGGGGACTGCTTAACTGATGGATTGAACATGCTAGTGATGGTCATACACGCTTTATGAGTCGACAGCCACTATATGTACGTACTGGAAACGTATATCAATCGAACATGTTTCACCTTTATTAAAACTTCGTCATAGATTGAGAGAAAACAGACTAAACACAGAACGTTGGTATTTTCAATTTTATTTGGGTTAATTCGTATTGGCCAGTCACGTGCCCCGTGCATTAAAAGCGTAGATAATTCTGCATGTAGGTAAGTTTGTAAATATTTTCAACATATAGAAATATATACGGTTTTAATGCACGTGATATGTGGGTGACCAAGGAGAATTGACCCAACAAGATTTCTGTCGTTTTGTCAGTTTTCCCCCAACACTTGACGAAGGTTTAATAAAATTATAAAAGTGAAACATGTTAGATTGATATATATTTCCTATTTGTTCTTTATCTTATCAACCGATTCCGACCCATATTTTATCTGCTTTTGATGTTTAACTCATATGTATGTATGTATACAATTTCATCAATTACGATTTCATCAAACACGCTAGGAACAAAAATTATTTCACTCCATATCATTTAAGAAACCTTATATATGATTTGAATACATATCATTATTAATACTAAAGACAGAGAGTGGGCGACAAGGTCACCACAAAGTAGAGACAGTCTGTTTCATGCTTGAACGCAGTCTTTTGACCAGCAGTGTTGGTTGGTAAAACGACTATTTATATATACTGGGCAGTTGCTCTTTATGGGTAGCAAGGTCAGTTTTTCCGGTTCATAGTGTTATCCAAAAAGTTATTGGATAGGCGGAAACATTATATTTTTTATTTATTCTAAAGGCTACTAATTACAAATAAATTATTTATGGAAAAATATCTAATGATAATATTCAAGTCATTTCAGCCATCTCTGTTCATTGTCATGAATTTGGTATAATCACTACCAAAGCGGAAGTTATTTATTAATTTTCATTCTATTATTTTAAGAGAGTAATAATTCTGATTTCAACATGAGTGTATCACGTGCTATTAGCATTAACGTTTCGAATAGTGACTTCAAATTTTCTCTTTTTCTGTTCAATTTTTCCATTCAGCTCTATTTCGTGCGTCGAGCTGTTTGACGAAATCAATTTTAGGAATATGAAATGAGATTCAAAATCTCTGAAAAACACGTAATAATCTTTATTAATTCCCAGAAAGGGCAAAGCTCTGATTTAATCTGCAACCAGTCATGAATTAAACCAACAAACATTCAAATAAGCGAGATGAGATGCGATTACGCCTAATCCTTAGCATTAGTCCGACACGAGCCATCTTGAGTGTCCAATTTGTTCATGGATGTGGTAATGTTGCTTGGAATCTGTCAAATCTTTTAATATTAGTGAGTAGCTGATTATTTCACACTATGGACAATGTTGGACAAGCTTATTCGTTGTAACATATTCGATTTAAAATTGCTACAAGTTCAATAATCGATTAATTCGTTCGTGTCACGGATGAATCTAATTTGATTTTTTTAAAATAGTTTTCTCTTCTTTCGTTCTATTTTTCAGTATTTCTTCTTTCTGTTATCTCATTTGCTTCCTTTTTTCCTTATTAACCAAAAACTCTCATTTATTTTCTTTTTATTCTTGCATATTTTTCTTTCTCTCGTTTTTCAAATGTGTTTTAATATTTATTTCTCTTTTTTTCCATCTTTCTATTTGTGTATTTCATTAATGTTACTTTTAATTCATTTTCCTTTGCATTTATCTAATTGTTTTCTTCGACGACTCCAATTTTGTTTGTCATCTCAAATGTCTCTTTCTTTTCTTCTTCTTTTCTTTTCGCCTTTTTCTTCCCTAATCTCCTTTCTTTCTTACTATTCCACCACTCGCTTTCTCTTTTCACTTTTTCATTCTTTCTTTTAAACTTTCTCTTTGTTTCAGTTTCCTTTCTTCTTGTCTTCATTTTACTTTTCATCTTTTCTTTCTTTTTCTATTTTCTTTTTTTTTTAATTTTTACCATTTCTGTATAAATTCTCTTTCTGATTTTTCCAATTTCGTTTGTAACTTTTCTTTCTTTCTTTTTTTTTTGTTCCTGTTTACACCTTTTCATTTTCTCTTTTACGTTCGTTAGGTTTCTATTTTATTTCAGTTTTCACCTTTTCATCTCTTTTTCGTTTTCACATTTTTTTTTCTTTTTCTCTTTTATTTCAGTTTTCACATTTTCATCTTCATATTTTTGTTTACCCTTTTCTTCTTTTTCTCTTTTATTTCAGTTTTCACATTTTCATCTTCACATTTTTGTTTACCCTTTTCTTCTTTTTCTCTTTTATTTCAGTTTTCACATTTTCATCTTCACATTTTTGTTTACCCTTTTCTTCTTTTTCTCTTTTATTTCAGTTTTCACATTTTCATCTTCACATTTTTGTTTACCCTTTTCTTCTTTTTCTCTTTTATTTCAATTTTCACATTTTCATCTTTACATTTTTGTTTACCCTTTTCTTCTTTTTCTCTTTTATTTCAGTTTTCACATTTTCATCTTCACATTTTTGTTTTACCCTTTTCTTCTTTTTTCTCTTTTTATTTCAGTTTTCACATTTTCATCTTCACATTTTTGTTTACCCTTTTCTTCTTTTTCTCTTTTATTTCAGTTTTCACATTTTCATCTTCACATTTTTGTTTACCCTTTTCTTCTATTTCTCTTTTATTTCAGTTTTCACATTTTCATCTTCACATTTTTGTTTACACTTTTCTTCTTTTTCTCTTTTATTTTAGTTTTCACATTTTCATCTTCTCGTTTTCGTTTTCACCTTTTTTTTCTTTTTATCTTTTATTTCAGTTTTTGCATTTAAAATTTTTTTTTTCGTTTTCAATCTGTCTTTCTTTTTCTCTTTACTTTTGTTTTCGCTTTTTCCGTTTCTCTTTTTCGTTTCACCTTTGTCTTTTCGTTTTATCTCTTCTTTTTCTATTCTCTTTTTCAGTTTCTCTTTTTCGTTTTCACCTTTTCCTTCTTTTTCTATTTTCATTTTCTTTGTACATTTCCGTGTCTCTTTTTTGTTTTCACTCTTTCTTTCTTTTTCTCTTTTCTTTTTGTTTTCGCTTTTTCCGTTTCTCTTTTTCGTTTCACCTTTTTCTTTTCGTTTTATCTCTTCTTTTTCTATTCTCTTTTTCAGTTTCACTTTTTCGTTTTCACCTTTTCCTTCTTTTTCTATTTTCATTTTCCTTGTACATTTCCGTGTCTCTTTTTTGTTTTCACTCTTTCTTTCTTTTTCTCTTTTCTTTTTGTTTTCGCTTTTTCCGTTTCTTTTTTTCGTTTTCACCTTTTCTTTTCGTTTTATCTCTTCTTTTTCTATTCTCTTTTTCAGTTTCTCTTTTTCGTTTTCACCTTTTCCTTCTTTTTCTATTTCTTGTTCCTTGTATATTTCCGTGTCTCTTTTTCGGTTTGACTCCTTCTTTCGTTTTTTTCTTTTCTTTTTGTTTTCTCTTTTTCAGTTTCTGCTATTCGTTTTTACTTTTTTTTCTTTTCTCTTTTCTTTTTTGTTTTCTCTTTTCCCCTTTGTCTTTTTCGTTTTCATCTTTTCTTTCGTTTTCTCCTTTTCAATTCCTCTAAGCATTTCTCTTGATTTCCGCTACTCTTACCCTGCTTTCCAATTTTAATTCGCATTTGTTGCTTTTTTTTCAGAATTTTGCCACTGCTTTTCTTTTCTCTTTGTGTCTTTTTTATGATCTTACCAGCAACCCCATGTTTTTACTTAACTCACTTATCGATTTATTTAATTGAATGCGAATAAAAATTAGCTGTCCTTTATCAAAGCTGAAAGACCATGTCTGGGTTTCAGTTGATTTGAGTGCTTCTAAATTGGATTCGTCAAAACAGATTTAAATTAAAATTTGTCGGCTTGGAAATATGTTTTTTTTTTCTATTTGCTTTCAAATAAGATTTTCGTTTTTGGTCTTCAGTATACTTCCGAAATCAACACCTTTTCTGTCAGCGATTTGGATAGAATAAAAAAATATAACGTAAGATTATTAATGTCTGCATCTATAATCGGTAAGATACGACGTTTTCTCAAATTCTACCATGAGCCATCGTCATTATTCTTTGAATTATCCGGATTCTTATCCTTATCTTTCTACGTTTCATTACTTCTTTTCAGCTTATATATTCTTCTATGTGTCTGTCATTGTATATAGTTTAGAAATTAAGAATGACATTATTTCAAGAAATATTCTCAAGAATAATCAAACCATTCTTGTGTTTGTGCATCTTTCGATCAGGTTCACATCAGTTTTACTTTAAACACACACACACACATACACACACACACACACACACATATGTATTAGGTTGGTGCAAAAATAATGACGTAATAATGTCGTTTTTGACCTATTTTTAACGTCAAAAACGACATTCTTACGTCATTATTTTTGCACCAATCTAATATATACATATATATATATATATATATATATATATATATATATATATATATATATATATATATATATATATATATATATATATATATATATGAACAATGATTTGATACCGCATATTATTATCAAAACAAAACTCAACCCCCCACCTTTGTTGCTAAGTGGCTAAACTCCAAAAGACAGCTGTTCGACAATACTGACTGGGCAATAAATATTAGGACGATTTTTGGCTATTTGACGCAGAGCTAGATCCGCTAATCATTTAAATATTCTCGAAGTATTATACGTCAAGATGCATAAAACAAACCTGTCTAAAAAAAGCGCAATTTATATGCTCATTACGGTTAGTTCAAGGACATGAGTCAGATTTTTATACTCCCTCGGAACATTCATCATTCTATTCGTGAATTATTTAACAAATACATTGTTTTAGTCATTATCTAATATTAGACAATATCGTCTGTTCTACACTATTTACATTATCCGGATTATTGTCCTCATCTTTGTCGTATTTATTACAAAAATAGATGGTTGGAATGTCGAACTGAACCGTTTATTTCGCTTACTGGAGTAGGCTGATCTAGTTCCACGTGCCGTGTTTAATGGATGTCAGTTATCAGTTATCAGTTCTATCCTGTTAATTCCCCTCTCCAAGTTCTCCACTTCCTTAACCGGGTATTGAATTCACACTCTTTGGGTCCTGTCACTGGATCTAACCAATGCCTTTATCCACTGTGCCATGTGTTCTTGAGATCGTCTGTTGTCTCGTCCCCGTTAATACAGCCTTAAAAATTGTTGGTTGCAAGAATTCTAAAGGAGAATTTCCAGGTACCATTTAAATAAAAATATATATATATATATATATATATATATATATATATATATATATATATATATATATATATATATCCTATATTACACCCCTGGCAATCTGAAGTCTGTGAAGATTGCATTGTGACAGGCAACAGACTGACACAGCTTGTTTTTAACCTCAGTACCCACTTTCACACACACACACACACACACACACACACACACACACACATATATATATATATATATATATATATATATATATTAGATATTTGTTTTTATATATGGTCCAGGTTTTCATATTTCCCTATTTTGGCAAAATCTTTTTTATCACACATTTTGATATTTAATAACAAATGCGATAAAAACATGGAGAGACAAAAGGAAAAAAAAAACTAAATAAAATCAGCCAGTCTATGCACCCAACACAGATAAAAAAAAAAGTAAATTGAAATGTCCAGCGCCTTCTCTCCTTCATGGTACACAGCAACGTAAAACGAACTCTAGTCCGATGAAGTACTAAATGATAAAACGTGAAATTTTGCCATTTTGTCATAGATTTTCCTAAATATATATAAATATCTATCTATCTATCTATCTGTCTATCTATCTATCTCTCTCTCTCTCTCTCTCTCTATATATATATATATATATATATATATATATATATATATATATTATCAATATCATTATTAATAATATGAACCTTTCTTTTCCTGGGTACGCATGATGAGTTGCAATAATATTTTTTTTCTTAACCAATTAAAAACAAGTGAACAAGAATGAAGTCACGGTAAAGAATGTTTTTGCCACCGAAGCAATCTAAAATGTATCCATGATTCCATCAGGGAAAAGCGCTTGTATAGTTGACGAGTGGCTTTACCAATTTGGCTGCATGGATAGCAAACATATACACATCCGTGGATATCACAACGTGTGATGTTTTTATTAAATACGTAAGTCAAACTTTTTACCCTTCGTTATATATGTGTACAGATGCACATACATATATATATATATATATATATATATATATATATATATATATATATATATATATATATATATATATATATATATATATATATATATATATACTGGGTTTAAAAATATATATATATATATACCGGGTTGAAATGCAAAATTGTTAGATTAAGATTTGAACCAGGTATCATATATCTTACTGGAATTCCCCGAGATTTTTATAACACTATTAGACTCTACTTTGAACAATAAGAATGTACTTAGCAATAAGTTGAAATAAAGATCCCTCTTCCTCCATTGACATCCTGGCCTAGCTTTCTTCTCTACTCTCTACTGTTCCCTCATTTTAAACATTTTTCACCGTTTACTTGATGGTTTTTGAATGGACTTTGAAATTGGAAGCCAGGGTATAAATGTTGGTAGCATCTGAATGAAAGATCTTTTTCGTCTCACCATTGCATAATTGAGAAGACAAGGTGGGGCTTTTAACCTCTTCTGTTTCTAGCTGAATAACTCAAAGGTTTTTTTTTACTGATTCTTACGACTAATGGTGTCAAGATGGCTAAATGTCTAAATGAGTTTAATGTCCTTTTTTAGATATTAAATATTTTGTGGAATGGACAATTGTCCCATGCTGTCATACGATTTGGGCAATTTTGCTGTTACAACCGATATATATATATATATATATATATATATATATATATATATATATATATATATATATATATATGTGTGTGTGTGTGTGTGTGTGTGTGTGTGTGTGTGTGTGTGTGTGTGTGTGTGTGTGTATATATATATATGTGTGTGTGTGTATATATATATATATATATATATATATATATATATATATATATATATATATATATATATATATATGCAATGGTGTATTTATTCATTAACACCAAATTTAGAGAACATATAAAACAATAAGTAAATGTTTTGCCCATGGCGCCACCTACAGGATTTAATTTTAAAATTTAAACTCATATAAATCTCAAGATGTAACTAGCAAACTGCTGTCTACGATAATGATTTTATATTTCGGATAATGAATAATCTAAAATATTTGATCAAAATAGAAGAACATACATTTTAAACATTTTATCCTCGACTTTGATCCGAAAGTTCGAAAACTTGGTAAAAAATTGAGAAAATATTCGATAAAAATAATTAAACAGATAGCTATTTTGTGTGATTTAATACAGCTTGTTTGAATAAACTCCTACTGCCTAAATTTGAGCGAATTTCTCTTATTTCTAAAAGCCATTACATACCCTGATCTACGAAAAATGTAAGCACGTTTCATATATATAAAATCAAGCATTTAATTGTAGTTATATTTGACCATTAATTTATTTCTCCTTTGTATGAATTCCATTCTATAGTCGATTCTTATTTTTGCATTCGTTATTTAGCATCAATAGCTCTTAAACTTTTTTTTTTCCTGAAGACTATTTTTAAATCATTTCAAACCAAGCAAGGGTATAAAGTCACTATGACGCAAGAGATTACTAAGAGTGAACGAAATATAAGATGATAAAGAAAAGGTTTTAACGAGATAGTCGATGACGATTGGTATTATATTTAAATTTCTGAAGATCCTATTTGATAGGAAAGCTGGAAGAGAGTTTCACAAGCGCAATTTGCAAGTGAAGAAAATATATATCTCCGATCATATGGTTACAACTAGCAATTTAAACAGTGAAAGTATGGGACCTATCTGCCAATCTAGTTCTGTGCTTAAATTCGTGAAGTCAAGATACGGAAGCGGATAGCTCATGAGAAAAATTACCGTGAAATATTTACAGACAAGAAAAGAAAGCTACGTTACGGCCCTCGAAAAGAAACGGAAACGGACCGATAACTTTGCCGATTCTTGTTCGGAGATTTTACAGATTCTCTAGAGTCAAAGAATGAGCACCAGGCCAGATGTGACAGAAATATTTGGTCCACGACGGGAAAAATTCTCTAGCACAGTATAATGAACCAACTTTGCTCGCAGCTTATTTCGCAAATTGATTCAATATACTTAGCATCAGGAAGAGGCAGTCGAAATTTCTGGGACACATAATGAGAAAGGAGGGCCTGGAGAATCTGATACTCACCGGTCGAATAGAGGGAAAGTGAGGCAAGGAAAAACAACGCGTGACATAACTGAGGGGGTGCTTCAGCAAATGGATGACACAGAGTTGCCTGGGGGGAGGAAGCAGAGTGAGGGAACTTGTCGAGAGCTGAAAGGGATAGAGGGTGGTGGAGAACCATAATCGCCCCCGTCCTGAAAGGGCATGGCACATAGAAAGAAAGAAAGAAAGAAAGAAGAAGAAGAAGAAGAAGAAGAATATTTCTAATTCCTGTCAGCCAAAACGTGAGAACACGAAGGCACACTGTGATGGTAGCCTGGAGGTTAGCATCAGCCATTT